AGCCCTATGGTACAGAGAAAATGGGACATGGTACGAGGGCTGTACCGCGGCCGTGCATGAACGCTTTCACCTTCTAATGCCGCACTTTTGAGCTCAGCAAAAGCTAGTCAGTTATTCAGACGATGAGTGAGTGTCTTCCCGAGTTCTAAGCGAAGACCCAATATATACTTGGACCTGGCTGTCGTGAAAGCCAACTGCCTATTCGCATCCTTGTCAATGAGCTTCTCAACTACGACAACAATTATTGTCGATTGTTCAGCCCCAACCTAGGCGCTTGTGCCTAGGAGCAAGATCAGTGTGACTGTAAGTGAAGTGGGCGGAATGGGTGCGTTATGCTCATAACACTGATTTTGTTTCTCTGTCGTTCCTCCACCTCTGCTCAAAGAAAGACAATGGTGGGGTGCTGGCTGTAACAAGACTACAAATAAATGTGTTGTGACTCCGAGTGGCGGTCAGATAAACTCTCAATTTGTTGATCGCTTTGATATTGTTTCTGCAATCATGTTCTGACTATTGTGTTGAGTAACAGCACGAGAGCGATTGATTACGCCTTCAAAACTTCAACCACATAGCTTAAAAGTCTTTAGTCACGTGTGTCTTGCTGTCTGCTCAACACTAGCACTCATTATTGGTATTTAACTTTGTTAATTTTATTTACTTTGACCGTCTTTCAGTAAAAGTGGCCCGCTCATCTGGGTTGACCAAACCAGTTAACATGATTGTGCACAGATCGCAAGTCCGTGCGTGAAGAAAAGGCAAAGAAAAGACCTTGTTCAATGAGCTTCTCAACGACGACAACAATTATTGTCGATTGTTCAGCCCCAACCTAGGAGCTTGTGCCTAGGAGCAAGATCAGTGTGACTCTAAGTGAAGTCGGCCGAATGGGTGTGTTATGCTCATAACACTGATTTTGTTTCTCTGTCATTCCTCCACCTCTGCTCAAAGAAAGACAACGGTGGGGTGCTGGCTGTAACAAGACAATAAATAAATGTGTTGCGACTCCGAGTGGATGTCAGACAAACTCTCAATTTGTTGATCGCTTTGATATTGTTTCTGCGATTATGTTCTGACTATTGTGTTGGGTAACAGCACGAGAGTGATTGATTAAGCCTTCAAAATTTCAACCACATAGCTTAAAGTTTTTAGTCACGTGTGTGAGGCCACTGCCTCTATGAGCCCCTTTCGGCCCCTCTCTTAGAGCCCGTCGGCCGCCCTAAGTGAAGGCAGGCTCGACGAGGCCTTCAGGGCCTTATTTCGGCTTCTACGCAACTAAGGAAATTCAGGCAGTTGCGCAGCGCCAGTTGGTTGAGGAAACCGAGGCCCTGGGCCGCCTGTGTGAATGAATGGAAAGCAGGCCCTGGGCTGGTTACGGGTACTGGGCCAAACACATGCCGAAGGCAGTTGGGCACATGCAACTACCGCAGGCCCCAGGCCTGTTCTCGATCGTGCTGGGCCTCAGGCTACCGGGGCCTACTAGAAGCTTCCTGGGACTGGACGCAGGCAGGCCACTTCGATATAGCAAAGGGCCTGCCTCCTCATTCGGCATTCGGGTGCTGGCTGCATGCTGCGCAAGCGCTGCTGCGCTATTTGCTGGCTGGCGCCTACACGCTCACGGGCGAGCAGGGCAGGAGCAGGCAGCCATAGCCGAGCTGCGCTGCTGTAAGCTGGGTGTGGCGCAGGGTGGTCCTTGGGTGCTAGTGGCATCTGTGTGTTGGGGAACGAGGTTGTGAGTGAGGCGAGAGACATACCTGGTGCTGGAAGCGTGCGACATTGGTCGCTGTATGCTCATACTTCGGGAGAGCTGTTGTCATCAACTTCGGCATTGTAGTATAGGCTAGATAGGATCTGCCACATGTAGTCTGGACGCCGAGCGCCAGATAGGACATCAACTCTGGTTCTTCGTTGATGATGATGATGGGACTATTTCAGCATTGTCAATTATGAACTCTTGGTGTGTTCTTATTTGGTGAATCTCGTGATGCAATTCTGCTGTTGGTTCGAGGTCACGACTATCTGGACTCATATGTATGATGCTGTTTGATTGCTGAAGTTCGCTTTTGCTCATCTTCCTTGCACGTGTGTCTTGCTGTCTGCTCAACACAAGCACTCGCTATTTGGTATTTTACTTCGTTACTTTTATTTACTTCGACTGTCTTTCAGTAAAAGTGGCCCGCTCATCTGGGTTGACCAAACCAGTTAACATGATTGTGTACAGATCGCAAGTCCGTGCGTGAAGAAAAGGCAAAGAAAAGACCTTGTTCAATTACAAACTTCAAAAATACCCCTGAAGTTTCAATATGTAAAGCAAGACCTCGTCCGTCTGCAAATGTCAGAAAATGCCCCTAACGTTCTGAGATTTTTCATACAAGGTCTCATTTCCATTGAAAATTTTCAAAAATACCCCTGAAGTTTTGATACGTGACGGAAGACCGCGTTCGTCTGCAAATGTTAAGAAAAAAAAATGCAACGAAAATGAGCGATAGCAAAATTCAGAAACCAAGCCGCATCATACACATGGAACCAGACAGTCTTGACCTCAAACCAAAAGCCGAATTGCAACTCGAGTTACACCAAATAAGAGCACAGCAAAGCTCACAAATGACAATGTTGGAATAGTCTCGTCATCATCATCAATGAACCAATGTCGATTCCCTATCTGGCGCTCAATGCCCAGACTACAAATGGCAGATCCTATCTAGCCTATCTATAATGTCGCTGGTGATGTCAACAGCTCCCCGAAGTACGAGCAGATCTCGGCCAATGTCGTTCGCATCAAGCACCAGGTATGTCCCTCGGTTCACTCACAACCTCGATCCTCCACACAGATGCCACACGCACCCAAAGACCACCATGCGCTCCATTCAGCAATGAGCAGGTCAGCTTGGCTATGGCTGCCCGCTTCTTCCCTGCTCGCCCATGAGCGAGTAGGCACTCGCTTCAGCAGCTGGTGCAGCAGCACATGCGCATAAGAAGCAAGTGCCCGAATGCCAAATGCGGAGGCAGGGACTTTCCTTTATGGAAGTGGCCTGCCAGCTGCATGCTGCCTGGCTGCACTGGGCCCCTGCCCAGAAGCTTCCGGTAGGCCCCAAGTGGCCTGAGGCGAGAATATTCCGCAGGGCCCTGGGTGGTTACCCGTGTCCAACTGCAGTGTGTGCTGCGTGCAGTTTGTGCCTCGTGTCTGGCCCAGGGCCTGTTTCCAGAGAACTCAGGAAGGGCCTAAAAGCCCTTGACCGGATACTGTTATCCACGGCCTGCGTCCATACAACCAAGTGATGCAGCGTAACTGTCTGAGCCCCACTTTGTGGAAATGGACAAAATAGGCCTCATGTGATTTTACAGGGCCGCCTTCACTTAGGGCGGCCATGCTTGACGAAGGCCCCGAAATACCCAGAGCGGGCTGTGGCCTCGCATTCCCTCCTCCATGCTTCGCTAGTCCTCTGAGAAGTTCAATCATTCAATCTGGAGCTTTCCCTTCCACAATAACTTCTCATAGTGAGTGACAATCTAAGGAGCGGTCTGCATCAGTTCCTCCCTTGTAAACCACCTGTCTTCCTTTGGGTCCGTGTGGTGTCTGAATCGTACACGGAACTGCAACTTCGGCTTCGAAGGTTTTCCCCGACCAGGAGGTTTCGGCATCGGCATCTCTCGGTGGTCCACAATGCTGTCGATGTCGACTTCCCCATCCATGGTTAGGGACAGCATTGACCGATGCGAAGGAAACTGATCGGTTTCTTTGGATGGTGCAAGTTTGGAGGCATGGAAAACAGGGTGAGTGTGAAGGTGTCGCATACCGTAAAGGTGCAGACCAGAACAAGAACCGACCTCTCTCACATAATACAAGATAGCACAGCGGAAGGCTTAAATACCAATGATCCGAACAATCAATGTTGCCATGCAGACCTGACATACATCATCATCATTCCATGGTGTGAAGGGGCCTGGCGGTCACACAGGAAGAATGCGCCAGTCCCCAACCATACACAGACAAAGAAGAGGGGGGTTAGACGAAGAAGAGGGGAAGATGGGAATGTTGTCAACACCAAGTCTTCGGTACAGGTCCCAAATAATCCCTCGTCCAATGTCTGAATCACAATGTCGAGTCGGGACCCAAATGTCGTCAAGTCCCAAAGTCACCAATCTCTCTCTCTCTCGTAGTCTGCAGATACTGAGAAGTCAGGTAGCGAGAGGGGGAGGAGATGGACTTAGAAGAGGAAGAAGAAGAACTCTCTCTCTCTCTCTCTCTCTCTCAGTCCGGTACTAACCTGTGAAGGTGGCGCCTTGTTGCAGGTACATCGAAGACGAAGCTGGAGCTATGGCGCCACAGGTAAGTCTCCCTGGCCTCCGCCAACCATCTCTCTCTTTCCACTACTACTCCAGCTCCTGATAGTGCCCAGCGCTGAAGACTACCGCCAACGCTACTACTACTACTGCAGAGCTCCTCCAGAGTGCTGCTGCCAAATCCTGACGACTGCCTCCTGCCTCCTGCACGTGAAGTGCCTAGGAAGTTCCTATGAACTACCTCGTGACTGCCTGCAGCCTGAAGGGCGGGCCAGTCTTATATAGTGCTGGCCCGTCCAGGAGGCTGCTCTTGCCAATGCCAGAACGTGCCAGACCCTGGCGTTGAAGTTCAACTAAGGGTTGTCTTGAAAACAGGCCAAAAATGGCCTGTGCTAAAACCCTGGTCTGGTGCCTAAGTTTCAGGGCAGGTCGATCTCATGAGGGCCTGAAAATGGCCCTCCGTTTCAGGCTGAAACGACTCAGGGCCTGGAAGGCCCTGTTTTAGGCTGAAACGACATAGGGCATGCAGGCCCTCGTTTTCAGGCTTTCAGGCTGAAACGACACAGGGCCTGTAAGCCCTTGTTTTCAGGCTTTTAGGCTGAAAACGACACAGGGCCTGCCCTTGTTTTCAGGCTTTTAGGCTGAGAACGCTGGTCGGGCCCTGCAGGCCCGTGTGGCTGCGCAGTATGCCATACCCCCCCTCCTTGAAAGACCGAGCTTACCTGCGAGGGCGAAGCTGTCTGTCTGAGGGAGGGACCACAGTCCAGGTGGGAGGGGCAGGTCGTGAAGTTCCCTGAGCTAACCTTTGTCGCTCGTAGTGAGCGTAGATCAACGGCACGGATGCTTTCAAATCTGCTCCTGAAATCCATCGAGTGTCGTCTGGATCGCACGCTTTAAATGTAACTTTGTACTGTCGAGGCTTGCTGCCGTACTTGCGATCCGTGATGACGCGGTCAACTTCCTGACGACCATCCATAGATGGAGGATCTTGCGATCGTCCCAGGAAGTCGTCGCTCTTAGCTGGTGTATATGTCGCCAGCTTCGAGGCGTGAAAGACTAGATGGACCGTTAGATGTGGGGGGATGTTGATCACAAATGGAGGGCCATCGGGCTCATCGCCCGTGGCTGATCTTACGGGCCATGGTCCAAACCACTTGGGGAGTAGTTTGCGCGAAACATCCCGCTCGAGTGCAAACTCTTCTGCGGAGACCTAAACCAGATCACCGGCGAGGATGGGACATGGCACGCGACGCCTGTTGGCTTGCTGCTGCGTGCAAACTTGAGCCTTTTGCATGTTCGCGTGGGCTTGAGCCAACAATTCCCTGTACTTCCGAATGGAAGCGGGGGAGCAAGCAGCGTCTATGTCGGCTGTTCGTGGGAGGAGAAGACCAGCGAAGATACGGCCTTTCCGGCCACTGTGGTGCAACTCGAATGGAGTCACGCCGATCACCGGATGCAACGAAATGTTGTAGGCGAACTCGATGTCGGGGAGGCGGTCAACCCAATCTTTCTGATCCGGACAGATGAGCGTACGAAGTATCATTTGAGCGGTTTGATGTGCCCGCTCCGTTTGCCCGACCGTTTGTGGATGCCGAGCCGAAGTTGGTTTTATCTTCTTGCCTGATTCCTGCATGAGAGAAGTCCAAAATGCCGACATGAAGCAAGTGTCGCGGTCGCTAACGAAGTCTTCCGGTACGCCGTGGCTGCAAATCCAGCCGGTGTGCAAGAGGCGCGCAAGTTCGGGAGCCGTGGTGTAGTACTTGCAAGAGAGAAACCGCGAGTACTTACTCAAACGGTCAACGACCGTAAGGATGCCGTCGTGCCCGAGGCGGTCGCGGGGAAACGGTCCGGTGACGTCCATGGCAATGGAGAGGCCGGGTTCCCATGGGATCGGCATCGGGCGCAACTCGCCGTAGGGATTGCTGTTGCGGGGCTTGCTTCGTCGGCAAACTTCGCAAGAGTCGCAATACCGAGTGACATCGGTAATGAGGTCGGGCCATCGAAATCGTTGCCGAAGTCGTGCAATAGTGCGATCGACTCCAAAATGGCCGGCAAGTCGTGAGTCATAGTACTCGCCGAGAAGGCGAGTCTGAAGACGACGGTCTCATGGGAGACATAACAAGTCCTTGCCTCGCGAGTAGAGGAGCAAGTACCCGTCGACGGTGCGATAGTGGCTGGTCGGCGGGTGATCTGAAGATAGTTGCGCATACGACGTGGCGAAATCCGGATCAGACTCATAGCCCCGGATGAGGTGTCGCTGGAGTTCCTCGTCAAACGCGAAGGCATGATTTGTCATAGCGCAAACATCGGGTCTTCGTGAGAGTGCGTCTGTTGCGCGATCGGAGAGGCCGGCGAGATGTTTCGGTGTGAAGTCAAATTGGTCGATGAAGTACATCCATCGTCTGATCATGTTGCTCACCGTATCCTGCGTCTTGTAGTAGGTCAACGGGTTGTTGTCCGTGACCCATGTGAACCTACGACGCCCAAGGAGGAAGTGCCGCCATCGCTTGAGAGCCATCACGAACGCAAGCAGCTCCTTCTTCCTTGCATCATCAAGTGAATTGATGGGAGGCACTTTGTGGCTGAAATACTCCACGGGGTGTCGTCGTCGTCTTGTTGTTCCAAGACTGCCCCGATGCCATAGCCAGAAGCGTCAGTTGTCACTCTCGTTGGCAGGGTGGGGTCATAGACGCTAAGGACGGGTGCCATGAGCATGGCCGTCTGGAGTGCTTGGAATGACCAGCGTGCGTCGTCATCGAATACAAATGGCACCTTTGGCGATTGTAATCTCGTCATAGGTGCGACAATCCTTGAGTACCCGGTGATGAAGCGTTGATAGTAGCCCGCCAACCCCATGAATGAGCGAACATCCGTGATGTTGGTGGGCTCGGGCCATACGCGGATGGCCTCGATCTTGTCCGCAAGCGGATGGATGCCTTGCGTCGTCACATAATGTCCCAAATACTCCAGCCCTTGCCGCGTGAATTCGCATTTGTCGCGGTTGGCTTTGTACTCGGCTTGTTGTAGCCGCTCCAAAACGGTCCGCAGGTGCTCCACATGCTCGTCCAAACTCCGGTTGTACACCAAGATGTCGTCGAGGTAGATGAGTACGAATCTATCCAGCATGTGTCCGAACTTCGTTGTCATAGTCGCTTGGAATGTGGCCGGGGCATTTGTAAGGCCAAAAGGCATAACCAGCCATTCGAAGTGCCCATATCGCGTCTTAAACGCGGTCTTATAGCGGTCCTCCTGCCGGATCTCGAGTTGGTGATATCCCAATTTGAGGTCAAGCTTGGAGAAGAACTTGGCGCCGCCCAACCGTTCGCGGAGGTCGTCGATGCGCGGACGAGGGCCGGCGTTCTTGACGGTTTGTGCGATGAGCTTGCGATAATCGATGCACAACCGCAAGTCCTTGTTCTTCTTTTGAACGAAGAGAACGGGAGCGCCGTATGGCAACTAGCTAGGCCGAATCCAACCTTTCAAAAGAAGGTCGTTGAGTTGTGCCCGTAACACACTTAACTCTTCCTCGCTCATGCGGTAGATGCAACCACGCGGAGGTACGGCCCCAACTTCGAGGATGATCTCGAGGCGGATGGGCCGATCCGGTACTACTATGTGCGCGGCTTCAAACACATCGCCGTAGGCGTCGAGAAGCTCGATGATGCGTGGGTCCGGTGATGAGTCCATTGATGGAATGTCATGGGGCGGGCGGGCGTGGAGAAAACACATCCTCCTCGATGTCATCCCTCGTGATGGAACCTCGAATGCTTGCGGTGGACACCACGTGGCAGCTGATCGAAGGGTGAGGAGGAGGCACCGTGCATGGGACTAGTACTTCGTTTCGATCATGAACGTGAATGGTGCGGCGGTAGAAGTTCACCGGGTGATCCTCGCTTCCCAGCCATGACATGCCCAAGATCATGTCGAACTTGGTGTCCAAAATACTGAAGGACACAGCCTCGCTTGCTTGCGGGGCAAAGTACACGGGGACGACATCAATGCACCGGTCGATTGACTTGTGCGTGTGACYGTCGGCCAACGTGACTTGCGTGGGCTGCGACTTCCTCCGAACGCGTGGCCCAAGGCCAGCGCATACCATAAAGTCTTGGCTCATGTAGTTGCAAGTAGCTCCGCAATCGATCAAAGCGCTGCAGGTCGCCTCTCCGATCTGAATGCAACGACGCGTCGATATCGTCCTACCATTGTGTCTTAACTCGCGGTCGATCTTCGCAACGTAGTCATGAAGGTCGACAACCTCTACTCCAGCGTCCATCAACGGAGTTGGTACTGCAGTATCTAAGTAATCCCGCAATTGTGCCATGAGCGCGTTGCAATGCGGTTTCGGCAATCGGCCGGACGGGGGAAGGGGCATCCATTGGAAGTCAACAAATGTCAACGGGTCGAGCTCTTCAAGTCTTGACCATGACGTCGAATCCCCGGCGATAGATGCCGGCGAAGCTGCCGAATCGGTTGCCGATGGTGGTGAAATCGTGCATGCCATGGATTGTTGCACGTGGAGTGGTTGGTCCAACGGTGGGACCAAGTGGACAGCATAATCCTCGTAAGTGAACCAAGGACTCGCGACATTCGCATCCTCCCCAGATGTGTAGGAGGCCGCTAGCAAGGCGGCCGAATCTGGCGGAGTGAAAGGTGGAGTCGCCTCACCTCCCGCGCAACTCAATTTCCCGAGTTGATGCGAGGCTGGACATCCTCCTTGCCTTGATCCGGGCATAGGGAGGTCTTGTGCTTGGTGCTGTTGCACCAATAGCAGCAGCCATACCGGCTGCGCCACTTGTATTAGGCCTCGGCCAAGTGAAACTTGTCCAAATGTGCAACATGCTCCTCGACAATCTTACTAAAAATAAGTATGTCATCGAGGTACACGATGACAAACTTATCCAAGTACTCATGAAATATCCTGTTCATCTCGTGCTGAAAGGTGCCAAGAGCATTGCAAAGGCCGAAAGGCATCACCACAAACTCGTACAAACCGTACCTGGTCTGAAAAGCAGTTTTGTGTTGATCCTCGGGCTGGATTGTAATCTGGTGGTAACCGGACTTCAAATCGATCTTACTAAAGTACCGACACCCTTGCACTCAGTCCAATAAGTCATCGATGCGCGGTAGGGGCTCTGTGTTTTTCACAGTGATGGCATTGAGGCCCCTATAGTCAATGAACATCATGAACGTTCCCCCCTTCTTTAGTACAAATAAGACAAGAGATCCATAAGGGGAGACACTCAGTCGGATCCAACCCTTCTCTATGAGATCCTTGAGCTGTCGGCGAAGCTCATCAAGCTCTGCTGGAGACATCTGATAGATCCTACCCTTCAGAATACGAGACCCTGGAATAATCTCTATCGCATGGACGATCTCCTTGTCAACGACCCCTTTCGGGTCTTCAAATAAATCCGGGTATTTAGCAACCACTCCCTCCATCTCTGGAGGCATTTTCATCGGCGCACCCTTTGCAGAGACATACACTAAGTACATACCCTCCACCGAATTATAGAATGCAGCCGCACACGTGCACCCATAGGACTCGATCGGACAACTAACTTTACGCTTACACAATCTGGCAGTCCCTCCACCAGGCAGCGTGTGTTTGACCACTTTTCAGGCCCAGTCAAACTGGGTTGTGCAACCGGAAGGTAGTACATACCAAGCAAGATATCCATAGGGAGATCATCGCTGACTAGGAACGAGATTTTATGTCTCAGTTCCCCTCCCGCGTATGGGACACAACATTCAACATCTTTTAGGTAGTCGTTAACTACCATGCGTTGTTTGTTGGCACAAGTCGACTCCACGGGTCGACTGAAGCGTTGCACTTGCCCCTGTAAACGCAACCGATCAACACAAGTACGACTGATAAAGTTCCTCGTCGAGCATGTATCGTAGAAGGCCCTAGCCTTACGGCCGCCTATAACTACCTCGCCGACGAACAACTCACCCTTAGGAGCTTCGGCCATGGTCGTCCAAGAAGCTGGCAGGTCTGATCTAGACCACTCCTCCTCTAGCTCCTCTAAGGATTCAAACACATTCATCGAACAGAGTATCGATTGGTTTGAATGTGCTCGCGGGACGACGTCAAAGTCAATAGCTTGGGCCATCTCTCAAGATGGTGAGGGTGTATCCACCATCTCGATCCTAGCAGAAACAACTACAATTCCTTCTGACCCGACGTGTTTCCTGAAGCAGTGCCAAAAGTGCTGGCAACATTGCTACCTTGGGAAGCGGAGGAGGTCTCCGCCTGTCCCTTCGTAGGCTGGATCTTTTTCGTGACCTTACGGTTCCGACACTTAAACTGTGTATGGCCATATTGTCCACAGCGAATGCAAGCTGCTCAAATGTACCGATCTCTCCACACGTCCTCACTAAGCCCCGCTTTCTCCCACGGAGGAGCATTGGGGTCTACTTGACTCTTGACCGAGAACCTCCACGACGTCTACCGGTCGCCTTACCTTTTTGTACTGAGGCAGCGACTGTTCCACCCCCTGAAGCTTCTGCGCTACCCGACTCTGACCCTACTCCCACCTGGAAGTCGTCGTCTAATTCTATGGTAGTACCATCGTTGTCGATGAACATGATGTGCCCTTTGGCCTTCCAGTTAGGAGGCAGTGTCTTCTGCCTACCATCCGTAGCGGGTTGGTCTCCATGCCCAATCTTTGCTTCAAGATCTAGGGCCTTCTTGCTAAACGAGGGGAAGTTGTGGATTGTGATCATGGCCTCACTTGCCAACTGATTCCTGATCTTTGTAGGGAGGCACCTCAGGAAAGTGGTGAGTAAGACCTGGGGGTCATTGCGTACGCCAGGAACACAGATCAGACGCTCTACCGCGTCGATGGCATCCCTTACTAACCTAAACTTCCTTGAGCTCAGGGTCAATATCTCGTTGGTGGCCTTTTGAGCCTCCTGCGGGTCCTGCCACCTTTCCTCCACCAGCTAGATGAAATCATCCAATCTCTGGGTGACTGCCCAAGCACAAAAGTCATGACCGTACCCCTGTAACTGCATGTACCAGCTTAACCACTTCGTTGCACTCCCCTCGAGATAGGAGGCAACCACAAGCATTTCCTCGTGAGGCAAGGTTACTTTGCACTTCATGTAGACTGGCACTGTCCTCAACCATGTGTCGAGGTCCTCACCCTTCTTATCACTAGAGAAGGGTTTGGGTGATGAGATGATAGTCTTCGGAACCCACTGTCCTTGTCCCAGGACGTGCACAACTCCAGCTGCACTTGCTGTTGTTGAGGCCGTGTGTGCCCTGCGGCTGTGCTGGCTGCAAGACGGCAGGTTGCCCTGTTAAGGCAGGCTGCCCTGTTACAGCAGTCTGCAGCAGAGGTTGGGAGAACACTGTATGAACAAGAATATGTACACTAGGACCTGCTGACAACCCGCCTATCAAAGGCATAACAAGATGGGAAGCGGCCTGTACCGACACTGGAGGAAGTGTAGATGGCACTACCCCGGTTACCGGTGGGACAAAGTGAGGAGGATGTACCACAGGCCAGGCACCTGGCCCGGATGGTAAAGGTGAGACCTGAACCCGCCCGACCAGCACGACCAGATTTCTCTGAATGTCCTGCAAAAGATTCATATGGTAGTCCTGCATCTCTACCACCTCTAGCAGGGCCCTCCTAATGGTCTTTACATCATCATTAATATGTGTCAGATCCATCTCCTGTAACTCACGCGAGCGCTGGCTCCCTGAATGGCGACCTCCTTAGAAGTTGACACTAACACCAATGGACTGACTCTGGGTCTGTGCGATCGTTGAACCTACAGCCCCTGAACTACTAGCCTGGGAACTCTGCTGCATCCCGGAACTACTCACTTGAAAGCCTTGTTGTGCAGAAGTGGCCATTGCGGCCGCTGAGATAGTTGCCTCTCTTGCGAAAGCCCTGCTTGCCTCGGCCTCCCTCTCCCTCCTCTGTTGACGCTGCCTTTCCCTAGCCTGTCTAAACAGGAGGCGGTCTCCCTCCGCTCCTAAAGCTACCTGGACCAACGGGAGTCTGCGGCTTGGCAAATGCAAGATCCGATCGTCCAGATCAGGGTACTCTTCGTCGCTCATATGCTACAGCACCGTACACTATCTGCACTAGGACACACTCAGTTGCCTACTGCACAGTCGTGGTCAGACCGATTATTTTTCATATGCTACAGCATCGTACACTGTCTGCACTAGGACACACTCGGTTGCCTACCGCAGCGTGGTGGTTAGACCGATTTAAAATAAATAAAAATAATTAATCGGTGGCATTATTAGTTGATACACAGTTGGGTCCCTCGGGTAAGTCCAGATTCCTACAAATGAAACTATTTTATTTGACTAGTCCGCAAACAAAGAGCAAATATGGAAAAACCGATAGTTCTACCTATGTTGTCTGTCAGATGTGTTAATAGCAATAACATCTAACTAATCAAAATAAAAATAGCATCATTTGTGTGGCTGTTTGCAGAGTGGAATTGTTCCCGAACATATCACTTGAAATCTAACCCCCCTTATGTTCTTCTTGATGTCGCTTGACGTCAGCGTTCCTAAGCAATCCGGATGGCGCTGGTGTCTAAAGGTGTGCACGACCCACCCCTGTGCCCCAAGTCAATGCTGAGCTGGCCAGCCCTGCACCATATTTACCTTCGCGTGCAGCGAGCCTTACACTGACCAATTGGCTGATCAAGAGGCAGTTTAAGGACAACCCTCAAGGTCCTCAAGAATTATTTTAACGTCGCAGACAGGACAACAATCAGAGTCAATGGAAAGTAACCCGCTGGTACTTATTTAAAGACGTCCGGTCCTCGTCTCCCCTATAGGCTTGGCCTGCCCCTCATGACCTATCTATAGCGCAACAGGTAGACAAAGGACAAAGCAGCAAAGCATGCGTGCTCTACTCCCGGTGGGTTGGCATGGTGATCGTGACCCAGTGTTTCGTCATGGGCCCTTTAGATGGCAACGCCCTCTCCTTCCAGATGCTCCACGTGAACAATGCTGACTCTCAAGGTTGAGTGCACTCGACTCCTCACATGAGAGGACTCTCAAGACATAACACACATCCTCACAGTAAGAAGTGTCGAAGAGGGTAGATAAGGTTAAGAGCAACGTACCTCAAAATAGCTGCCCCCAACCACAAATATTCTCACCAGATGACTTGACGTCGATTGCGATGACCAATCATTGCCTTCGCACAACCAGCATTATACCGTCGTTCCACCTCAGCATCAATCGCACATCAGATAGTTCTCATCACACTGCGAAACACCCAATATCACAACACAGCCTTCCTGGCAATACCCCTCTCCTCCTGGGTCGCCTTCGCCCTCCTCACTGCACGCTACCCACGGTCGCTCACCCAGCTAACCGCGTGCATGAACCGCATAGGCAGAAGACGAGCGCGAGATGAGCGCAACGTACCATAGCTCCGATACCAAAATGCAAGGAAAATGAGCGCTAGCGAAACTCAGAAACCAAGCTACATCATACACATGGAACCAAATGGTCTCGACCTCGAACCAAAAGCAAAATTGCAACTCGAATTACACCAAATAAGAGCACAACAAAGCTCACAAATGACAATGTTGGAATAGTCTCTTCATCATCATCAATGAACCAATGTCGATTCCCTATCTGGCGCTCA